GCATGGGATAATTTCAATTCTTTTGCATTTAGGTAGGTATGCTCTATGGGCTAGAATGTGGTCTGTTTTAGAGAAAGTCCCATAAGCAACTGAGAAAAATACGTATTCTGATGTTGTGGGGTGGAAGACTCTGTTTACTTCTACTAAATCCATTTGTTCACAGATTTGGTTCAGATCTGTTATTTCTTTGCTGATTTTTTGTGTAGTTGACCTATCTCTTTGTGTCAAATGGATGTTTAGGTCCCCTAATACAATAGCGTTCTTAATTATTTGGTCTTTCATGTCTGTTAAGATTTGTATTATATAGTTTGATGCTCCCATATTTGGTGCATACATGTTTATGACTGTTATCTCTTCCTCTTGCAGTTTTCTCTTGACAAGTATGTAGTGACCTTCTTTATCTCTTTTGATTAGTTTCTGGTTTGAATTTTACATTGTCTGTAAACATAATAGCTATCCCTGCTTTTTTCTGGGTTCCTGTTGCATGAAGGATTGTTTTCCATCCTTTAGCTTTCAGTTTATGGATTTCCTTTTGAGTGAAATGTGTTTCCTGTATACAGCATATTGTTGGATTTTGTTTCTTAATCCACTCTGCCAATCTGTTTCTTTTGGCTGGTGAACTGAGGCCATTTACATTAATGGTTTTAACTGATATGTGGTGGTTCATCTTTGTCATGTTATTTACTTGCTGTTGGTTTCCTACTTTTTCTATTTAATTGCTTGCTTTGCTTGAGGGTTCCTTTGTATTGTTGTTCTTGAAATTGTGGTCATTTTTTCCTCAGTCTAGAATATCTTTTAGTACTCTTTCTAAGGTAGGGTTGGCACTCATGAAGTTCTTCAGTTGTCCTTTTGTCGTGGAAATATTTTATTTCTCTGTTAAATTTGAAGGATAGTTTTGCAGGATACATCAGTCTTGGTTAGAAGCTGTTTTGTCTTAGGACCTGTAATACTTCACTCCAAGTTCTTCTTGATTTGATGGTTTGAGAAATCTGCTGTGATTCTGATGGGCTTTCCTTTATAGGTGACCTGTTTCTTTTCTCTAGCAGCTTTTAATATTCTGTTCTTTTGCTGTATATCTGGGTTCTTGATTATTATATGTCTGGGTGTAGTTTTATCTTGGTTATGAGTAGTTGGAGTTCTATATGCCTCACTTACCTGTACATTAGAATCTTTTTTCATGCTTGGGTGATTTTCTGCTGTGATTTCTGCAAATATTCGTATCATTTTTGTTTCCTCCTGCTGTTTCATTGACTCCTATTAGTGTTACATTATTTCTCTTTGCCTCATCTTGCAGTTGTTGAATTGATATTTCCTGGTTCCTTGTTAATTTTAAGAGATACTTCCTTTTGTGATTATTAGCTGCCATGCTGTCTTCAAGATCTGAAATCCTGTCTTCGGCTTCATTCAAGTGGTTCTGTCAACTTTCAATGGATGTTTTGATTTCCTGGATATCTCTTTAAATCTGTTTCATGCACTCTAGTTCACTCCTGTATTTTTCATTTAACGTTTCCATCAGATTCCTATACTCATCTGTTTTTTTATATATGTCTTCTTTAGATGTGCTGAGCAATTCTTTCATTATTGTTATTTCATGTTTTACCTGAGAGATTATTTCTGATCTGATGTCTTCTATGACTCGATGGAGTTGTTTCTCTGCTTCCACTGCAATCATTTCAGCATTTCAGGTGTGTGTTTACCAAATTCTCCTATGTTGATGTCTCCTGGACTTGTTCTGGGTTGGGTAGAGTTCTGAGATTGCATTTTAGTCCTTCTTGTCATTTTTGATACTGGAAGCAGAGCACCCAGTCTCCCTCTTCTCTGGCAGCTCAGCCAAGGTTGCTAGTGTTCCTAGTTTTCCTGGTGGTCAAACTTGTCCCTCAATGGCCACAGAGATAGGCTGCTCACTCTTGGGTCTTCTGGTGGTTTGTGGACTGTACCTAGTTCTCCCAGTTCCCAGATGTGAACCACAATGTTGGTGGATTGCAGACCAACTGATCCAGTGTCCCCAGGCAGCTCAGGGCATGTGTATGACCTAGAAGCAGGCTGCACTGGTGGTTTGATGACACACCACTTGGTCCTGTGTTCCCAAACAGTTCAGTGTGAAGGCAGAGCCCAGACACCAACCACAGGGTCAGCAGTTCATGGAGCACCTGATTTGGTTATCTCCAGGCAGCTCAGGGCACACACAGGAGCCAGAGGCGGGCTGCACTGGTGGTGATCATGTACTGCCTGTTTCTATATCCTCCAGGAGGTCAGTTTGTGTGGAGAGGGACCAACACAAAGCCTGGTGTTAGTGGTTCATGGGTCGTCTGAGCCAGTATCCCCTGGCTGCACCAGGTACATGGAGGGCAGAGACCTTTAATATATTTTTGTTTTTTAATCTTTATTACAATATAACAAAAGTCAAAGGTGAAGTATGTTTTTAAAAATTCCAAATAAGCCCTCAATTCATTCTTTGTTCTAAGGCTAAGCACAGTTTTAATTCTATCTACACTAAATTTTATGAAACTCAACATAAATTTCAGTCATAATTTTAATTTTTGAGATAAATATCAAAGTATATGGGGAAGAGACCTTGGGCCTTGAAGTTCTTGTTTTCAGCAGACTCACTTTACCTGAGTCTTTTCTGGGCCAATTATCCATTGAATCACTCTTGCTTGTGTCCTTATTTTCCTTAAGGAACAACTGTCATTAATACAAAGGTAGAAGTGTTGCTAGAAGGTTAGTTGCAAGTTTATGTTAGTAAAAGGAAACCCAGAGAGCCAAGACAGTCTAGTTCAGAACTGTCTTTATTTCAATGGCAAAATAACATTTAAAGAGTTGCAACATATAAAGTATATGTTAAACAAGTCCACCACACAAGGTAAAAGATGAAGGTTTGTTGATAACATGAACAAATACTAAAAAAATTATTAAGAAAACAAAGTTTCTTTAGAACGTTAGTTCCTCACATTCCACATAGAACTTCCAGTGTTGATCCATTAAATGGCATGGAAGAAATTCTTGATCGTTGATTAAAAGTATTTCATTGATTTGTAAATAATAAGGAATGCTTTGCATTGACTCTCTGGAAGTACCTGTGTAAAGACAGAAGGAAATTAAAGACTGCCTTGTACGATGTTAGATGTAAATGTAATCATTATAAACCCTGCAATCTAGTGAGGGCTACACGAGGGCACACACAATAGGTTCTGTGATCAGGGCCTTCTTCACTCATTCCATTTCTTTGTACCTGAGACAAAGCAATAAACCAGCACCTGCTGACCTTGGGAAAGAGGGGCCTGTTTGCAACCTAAAATAACAAGTGGAAGAGGATGGGTACACGTTTGAAGACAGCTAAACAAGCTCCTCTCTGCCTTTATTGCCAGTAAATTAAAAAAAGGACAACTGTGAAGATTAAATGAGATTTTGCACATGCAATGCTTAGCATATTGCCTAGCATGTGGCAAATAATAAATATGAACTGCTATTATTAACACTATTATTATTACTGACAAGGCTGGAAGATGAATGATCTGGCGTTATGATGTCAAGCAAGTTACATGGCTTCTCCAGACTTTCATTTCTTTGAGGAGAGGGTCGGTGATCAAGGAAGTGCTTCTGGCTCTACTTGTCTACAGGGTCAATGATCCTAAGACTGGTTTCTTTAAGCTTCCTGACAGCCTCAGTCATTGGCTAAACAAGCTATTCAACATTCAGCAAAGTGAACCTTATTCCATACATAGTACTGATACAAGTATGACCTCAACCAGGTGGTTTTATTAGGCCATAACACATTAGTCCAAGAGCTCTGCTCCTCAGCGATATAAATATTTTGTAGAATTAGCTATCTGCAGGGCAGTATCCATGTAAACTTCCCCTGGTGACCCACCCTGATTTGCCTCTGTGTGACTGTCTGCTTCCCCATTCTTGGCCCCTGTCCTCCTGGTGGAGATGTATCAACCTCATGATTTAATTAGACCTGAGCCAGTTGGTGAGCAGGCACTGAGTCAACATGAGAACATGACCCATCCAGAAGGAAGACAGATGCACTAAAATTCTGTGGGGTCTTTTGGGAGTCGTATATACGTTCTTCTCTAACTTGAATCTGCAAGCATGTAGCCTTGGGATTAGAAGAAAATGCTGTTAGGATAGGGCCAAAGTGAGGAAAAAGAGAAATTGAGAGGAGAGAAACTGGGTACTTAGTCATGTTGTTTGAAGCCTGGGAAAAGCCTAATGTACTCCTGGCCTTTTGTGTATATGCATCAACGTCCCTGTTTGGAGGTTTATGCCAGTCTGTGCAGGGTTTTCAACTGTTGCTCATAATATGAAGGATTTAAACTTTTTACACAAAGTTCACATATAAAAGCTTTGTGTTTTATACACTTTCTGAAACAAACCCATCCCACAAAAGTTGGTATAGGGAACACTATTCTCTCAAGAAAAACCCTCAGAAATAGGCTTTACGTATTTAATTTCACCCAAGCTGTTTTAGTTTCATCATGTAAGCACCTTCCTTCCTTCCTTCCTTCCTTGCTCCCTCCCTCCTTCCCTCCCTTTCTTCTCCTCCTCCTCCTTCTTCCTCTCTTTCTCTCTCTGTCTCTCTGAGACAGGGTCTTGCTATACAGTTCAGGCTGGCCTCAAACTCACTAAGTAGCCCAGGCTGGCCTTGAACTCATGGTGATCCTCCTATCTCAGCCTCCCAAGTGCTGGGAGGTGTGCCAGCACACCTGGCTGCCTAGCTGGATGCACCTTTTGACACTTGAATTTAATTAGGAAACAGATTTATACCTTATTTTCTTGATTTGATAATTCATTGTAATGCCCAATATACTGTTATATAATGAAACTTAAGCAGAAATTTTCCCACAAATCCAGTCTATTCTCTTAACAGGAGGATATTACTACTTCTGCTAAGCTTTGGGCTCAAGAAAAAAGATACAGATAGAAGGACTGTAAGCAGGTCATGAAGAGCTCTGCTCCAAACTGAAAGCTCTCCAACACTACAGTTTTGCTTCCATTTTAGCTCTGACAGGTATTTTGGGGAAATGAGGATGAAAGAAGGAATGAAGCAGTGAGATTCAGATACTGCATGTAAAATGTTTAAATTCAGTATCTTTTGTAGGAGATTTTGTTTTGGCTCTGTATTATGGTTTAAGTATGAAGTATGGTTCAAGGACTCACATGCTAAAGGCAATTATTCCCAATGTAGCAAAGTTTAGAATTGGGCTGAGAGAGGTGTGTCCACTGATGAGTCCCTTAGCCGGGCGGTTAATGGGAGGTGGGAATAGTAGGAGGAAGAAGCCACTCGGGCACACCTTCAAAGGGCCTATGCAGCCCCTTCCTTGCTCTTGCTCTTCCTGTGCTATGCTTCTGGTGCCATGAAGTTAGCACCTGTCCTCCACCATGCTCTTTTACTACGATGTTTCTGCCTTACAGCCAACCAAGTATGGACTGAACCCCTGCAACTGTGAACTAAAATAAACCTGTCCTTTTCTATATTGTGTATGCCTGGGTAGTTTATCTCAGCAATAGAAAGCTAACTAATACAGTCCACTAGTAATCTAAAAGATCTTAGAAAAATTATGCTATTGTGATCCGCACCAGTATAATCTGACAGGTAAAACACTCTAAAATGAGAAACAGTCTGACAATATATTTATTTCTCCCTGTAACAGTAACAGCCCTTACTGTGAAGGTGATTCAGTGGAACAGTGCTTAAAGAGCCCACACACTACCTAGCTCTGAGGCCTCAAGGGGATAATTAAAAGAAATTCTTTCACTGAAGAATTTTTGTGAATGGGAAGGAAAAAAATTAGAACCCCGAGAAGTCACTTAATCTCTTCTTAGGTCAAATAATTATTTTTTTACAATAACCAATGACACACACTTGTAGCTTTGTGACAAAGGATTTTTCCATCACTGTGAATGCAGTCAGTCTATTTAATTAGGGTCTAGAATCCCTTATCCCTTTCATTTTCATTTATACTTGCGGTAGACTGCCTAAGCAAAGCAAAGAGCCTCTAGGATGTGTAAATAAAATCTCTGAACAGTAGCACATTCAACACAACTAGGAAAATAACCATCTATGTGGATGCTTGTCTCTTCTCACTGCTCCTCACCTCCAGCACAGACTACGTAGCTAAGGAACTGTTTGGCTCATAGATGAGATGGGGAGAAATAAATCTTCCTCAAGTAATATTACAAAATGTTAGCTGTTCTACAAGTCTACTTAAACTTTACTGTTCAGCCAGGTGTGGTGGCGCACACCTGGAATCCCAACACTTGGGAAGCTGAGGCAGGAGGATCGTTGCAAGTTTGAGACCAGCCTGAGAGCTGGGGATATAGCTCAATGATATAAGCGCCTGCCTGGCAAGCGCAAGGTACCAAGTTCGATTCCCCGTACAAAAAAAAAAAAGAAACCAGAGACCCGCCTGAGCTACAAAGTGAGCTCAAGGCCAGCCTGAACTGCATAGTGAGACTCTGTCTCAAAAAGACAAAACAAACAAACAAATAAAACACTTTACTGTTAGATTCATTACTATGCAAAATAATGGGCACATGCAACTATTAATGTTATCTACTTGCCTAAATTAATACCTCAAAATGACATGCTAATTTAGGTAAACTATTATTTTTACTTGAGGAAGGAAAAATGGTGGAGTAAAGCCCAGGAGCAAAATACAGCTTCTCCACAACCTGGAATTGAGACACCTGCAAAAGAAACTTGGTGAACAAAAAATGTAGATCTTCAGGAATTGAGAGGAAGCTGACAGGAAAACTAAGAAATACAGAGAAGCTGTACAAATGGAGCATAATACAGAGAAAAGAATGAAGCAGGCTGAACTGCTAGCCCTGGCTCTAAGGAGGGGGCCTGTCTGCTGATGGAAGGCTAGAGTTGGACAAAAAATCCAGTGCAGCACCTGCCATATTCAAGTGTTTAATTAGGGGCACTGGGAAAGGGATTAACTGTTTAAGACTGAGCTACAGAATACCTACAAAACAATGACACTTCAGGGTTTCTGGAATTACCATATCACAGTGATTAGGTGGTAGATGGCCACAAAAGACTGTCACACAGAGGGTATGGGCTAGACATGGACGCTCTGAGAAGCCAAGCGCAGGCCAGGAATGACCTGGAGTCCTGCCTTCTTTTGGTGACAAGCCAGGCCAGGTGTGTGTGGTTTTCAGGGGATGCTGGGCCTGAAAGAGCTGGAATTAATTTTTTTTTTTTTTTTTTTTTTTTTCAATTCAATGGTTGTTATGTTGCATATTGTTGTCTTCACTGGGACAAATGATTTACTGATTTCTATTGGTCTACCGAAAGGTACAGTTAATGCTTAATTTTTTTCTTCTTTTTAAATTATTTTGATCAGGGCTGGGGATTTAGCTCAGCGGCACAGCATCTGCCTGGCAAGTGCAAGGTTGTGAGTTCGATTCCTGGTACCGGAAAAAACAAACAAACAAAAATTATTTTGATCAATTTTGCATGCTTATATCTGATAATATGAACACCTAATTTGAAGAGCTGGAATTAATTCTAAGGGACTGCTTGACCCCATCCCAGTCCTCTGCCTGCATCTAAACAGACCTCAGTGGTCTGTTTGCTTTCCCTATCTGTCAGTGTGATTAGGGGTACACCTTGGGTTGTATAGACACAGGGGCCACAGCCTGGGTTGTATAGACACAGGGGCCTCTGAAGTAGAGAAGGGGAGCACTTCACAAACCCACAGGCTGTAAGCAAGGTGGAGAAAGCTGTGACTTGGGACACACACAGGAGCATGGAAACTGGGAGCCACTGGAGTTGACTATAGCCCTAGAGCAGACACTGACCAGCCACCCCCAGCTGGAAAAGCGAGGTGGGATTCAGCATTCATGCAGAATAACGTTAATGTAGAAACAAAACAGGTCACTATCCCTTGCCACATCTGGTGGATTACACTGTAACTACAAACTCTTAGAAGAAGCCACTCACTCAAAAACACAGAGAAATTTTTACTCATTTCTCTTTTTTTCATTGGTTTTTGAGCTTTTTGCTTTTCTTCTCTTTATTTTGCTAGTTTTCTTTTTGTTTGTTTGTTTGTTTGTAGACAGGGTC